CGTGCTTAACAAAAAAAAAAAGAAAAAAAAAAAACGGCGTTCAATTTTGAACGTGAATTTAAATTCGCGTTCAAAAGTGGAATTGAACGCAAACACGCGCTCACGGAGTTCGAACGATTACATAGAGTGAGCATGGGGTGGACAGTGATATGCGGTCGTGGGATCGCCAAAGCCACTGTTAGCCCGCTCGGTTGGTCCCTCTAGGGAGGAGAGCACAACACGTGGCCGCTAGAGGGTGCAACCAATTACAGGCTATGAAACCGTTTGAGCGCGCATCAGCGCTAGCGCGCGCGCTTAAAGACCCCCCTGCCGCGCTCAAACGCGCTCAAAGCGATTTCGGGCACGCACGCTCGTCAAAAAAAGAGCGCGCGCACTCCATGGGGTTACGCAAGGGCAGGGGACGGCGTGGGGCCATTTGCGCACGTAAAAAAAAAAAGGGTGGTCGGGGTGATTTTTTTTGGGGGGGGGGGGGGGTCGGGGGGTTTGTTTGGTTGGGTTTTTGGGTGAGGTGTAGTTGGGGGTGGGGGGGGGGGTGGGGGGGTGGGGCCCGTGGGGTGTGATTTTTTCTGGGCAAGGGCTGCCAAATTTCGATTTCCGCAGGCCCTACCCCCAGAAGTTTCAAAATGGCGAAGCATAAAAAGAGGGCTCATTCTAACTTTTTTTTGGGCGGGGTATGGAAACTGGCCTTCCCCATCCCTTCTGCCAATCCCACACAGTGGTGGGACAAGTTCGCAAGAAGGGGGTAGTCACCTAATAACGACCTGCCCCACGAAGCTTTGCAGAAGGCATAAGTTGCATTTCCCACGGCCAGCCGACCACCAATATATGCTGAAGATTGGCATTCAGGTCTGCATGTCGGCAGTTATGGGTTAGCATGAAGATGCCGTAGATCTCTCGTTTTTTTGTTTTTGTTTTCTTACAAACACGTACACTGGGGCCTGCTCCACTGCACAAAAGACATAGCATATGGCGGTGTATGCTCCCATGTTTTAGCAGAAGATTCATTCTACTAATATTCTATACATTTGGTGAGTGGTGGAGGGAGGATGAAGATGCCCGTAGCTCTCTCGTTTTTTTTGTTTTTTTCTTACAAATACGTACAGTGGGGCCTGCTCCAC